AGTTAGCAGTAATACACGATTCTTGCTATCCTCCGTGGTACGACACCACGCCATAATACCCTCGATCAGATCGATCCTAGTGTCTGGCAGGCACGGCTGTGTTGAATCGTGATGGGGGACAATAGGATATTTAAGTTCATTCAGAACTTGATTGTTTGCTATCGCACCAACCAACAAGTCTGTCTCCAGCTACGATAATGAGATCAGGACAGAAACATAACAGGGAATCAAACGGAACTACCTGGAACATTGCCAAGGCTTCGCTAAAATCTTTCTTTAAATCATCGAGCCTGCTGGGGTTCTTCATATGGGAGAAGAAGTTGCGGATACCAGACTGTCTTTCCATCTTCCCACTCAATCGATGGATTTCAATTTGAATGCGCTCCAGCGCCCTACAGATTACTCATGTTATACAACCGCAATGGCTTGCATAGAACAGATACTACTTACTCACCCAGCTTCTTGACGCTTTCAACCCACGACTTGGGTTTTTCATTAGATTCACCATACGAACCAATGGCTGTGACCACATTGACCATGGCGTCCCCGATATATTTTCCAAAACGCTCCAATTCCCCCTTATTTCCCTTGAATTTCTATACAATGCAGACTGTCAAGCTCCGTCCCAGGATCGATATAAATTGCCACTAACTTTGATTTCAGTGAGGATGAGGAGTGCGGCATTGGTGGCAGCCTGTAGAGGAGGGAACACGCCCGATGCGGTATTGACGGCGGTGAGGACTGGAATGGCAACATCGCCTCCCACGGCGAGGAGATTATCGACCCTCTGCTTCAGCGACATGGTCAATAATGAAGGATGGGGAGAAAAGGTCGGTCGCGCAGTGGATGGTGACACTCAGAGGCTGCGGAGTTCACAGCCATGAGATTGCCGCAAGGCGCAATTCATCCCATTGCGCACTTATGGAAATTCTTGCGGCAGATTCCATCCTCTTATGCAGAACCAACTGTGAAATCGATCAACCCCCATCTATCTTGGTTCTGCTCTAGGTTCGCTATGGGAGGTTTGATGCAAAGTTTGGCAACAAGAACAAACATCCTTCGACCTTGCAGGAAGGCCAGTGCCAGGCGCACATAGACTACTGCATGTTCGCAAAAATGTATGGTGATGCGCCCCGGAAGCAACAAGAAGATGGCGGAATGGGAGGATTTGGCATTACCACCGCAGCTGATGACCTTGCCGTGTCACTGTAACCCGGATGAAGCAAGTAGGCCTGACACAGGTGGATGAATTTGAATCCTTATTCTCCGATCAGGATTTTTAAGTGTGGATCTCGAGTAAGTTAGTTGTACATAAGACACCTAAATTTGAACGCACCTCTAGAGGCTGAACCCACGCTACCGAAAATTTTGTCCATGGGCTCACCACGGAACGATGATGACAGTACGGTAAGACGACCCCTATACAGGCAGCAAATCAATCCCTACAGCTAGCGATGATGGGCCCTTCGCCCGAACATGTGGGTCAGAATGGGGCTGCACATTACCTCATTGCTCCGGATTCCCGGTGATTCAGCTCGGTGAAACCCGTCAAAGCCCAACGGTATTATGTAATGAGTCCCGGCGTCTTGCTGGTCTCGATCTCCTCATCACGATCGTGTGCCACAAGTCGAATCTCTCACTTTACAACCATGAACGATCCCCCTGAGAACCCCCGACGAAGCAAGCCAGCTCATCCCAAGGCACTCCGGCTGTATGACATGTTACGTCAATACCTATCACCCTCGAAGCTTCTTTCATATCATTATTCCCTATGGAACAAAATAATTACTTCCTCCCCGATAGGATCCCGCTACGTACTTCTCATCACTTTCACGGGGATCCCCAATCGCGTTGGCTCGATCCCAATCACCACGTGCGACTCGAAATACCTCCTGCATATGTTGTGTCCATTACACCGCTCATGATAATGGTAATTTCTTCGATACACAATTGTAGAACATTCAAGTGTTCATACCCCTTGGGAATTGTAAGGAAAAGTCCGTCTATCCACTGCTGTCGTGCGCATGTCCGGTAACATGTAGATGTGGGCCGTGGGTGACACAATTTCTCAGTGGTTCATTGTGCTCGGTTTAGCAGCCATGCTCAGGCGCCTTAGATCAAATGATAGGCTCTGGGCAGCGATCGTGAATCGGAGACCGAATGGATGCAGGAGTGGCATGTCAGAACTTACGCGACTGAGGGATACGTTCACTCGAATGGCCACTGCTTCTCGTACCAACATCTGTATAATACAGCAATGACCGGGTTCAGCGAGTCGAATTCACGAGCATTCAAAAACGTAGATTCCTCCAACGATTACCTTCAGGATCGCCAGAACCCGTAAGAACCAACAGTCTCCCTCTGAGCAGCTCCTCCCTTCTTACTTTCTCCCTTCGAGTCGAGACGTTTCAAGTCCTTTTCCTCATAATTGTATGTACGGAAGATGAATTTTGTGACCCTATGGAAATCTTGTCCACCTTTTTATCATCAGTGACCTGAACAGTCATTCTCGGTTCTGGAAAATTGTGATGGTAGTGGATCGGAAGCGTAACCGGTCTCATTGGACTTTGGTTGAACTTGACGAGCTTCGCAGTCCGGAGTTGATATGTCGCGACTCTGATAACCACGTCGCGTCGAACAAAGACGAGCTAGATGACACTTCCACCGTGTGCGCGTGCGCGTGCGTGTTCTGCGGGATCTTGTCGGCACCGGCCACGGCGCTCCGCAGTAATACGCAATTCTCACTATCCCTGTGTTACGACACGAGACCATAAGATGCTCGATCCGATCGGTCGTAATGTCTTTCAGACACACCTGAGCTGAACCGCGATGGACGACAATGGGATACCTGAGCCCATTCAAAACAGAAGAATTCACGACTCCACGAATTAACCGATGTTGATTGTACCGACCTACATGGTTCCGATAACGAGATCAGAGTAGCAACATGACCGACGAGGATCAAACACAGTTACCTTGAAGAATGCCGAGGCCGCGCTTCCTCGAATCACCGATCCTGCTGGGGTTCTTCGTGTGGGGGAAGGGGTTGTGGGTACTTGATTGTCTTTCCATCTTTCCGCACAATCGATCAATTTCGTACGCTGCTGCGCAACCACAAGTACCTACGTTATACGATGGCAATGGCTCGCATAAGAGTGGATACTACTTACTCGCTTAGCTTCGTGACACTTTCCATCCGCAGCTTAACCTCTTCATTAGACGAGTCGTACAAATCGATGCCTGCAACCACATTGACCATAGCGTCCGCGACACATTTTCCAAAACTCTCCCATTCCTCCTTGTTTCCCCTGAACTTCTACATAATGCATATTGTTAACTTGCGCTCCTGGCTCGGTATAAATTATTACTAACTTCGATCTCGCTGAGGATAAGGAGTGTGACACCAGTGGAAAATCGTAAAGCTCCGATGTAGCATTGACGGCGGTGAGAACATCACCTCCCGCGGCGAGGAGACCAACGACCCTCTGCTTCAACGACATGGCCAATGACAGGCAGATGGAAGGAAAGGTCTGATACGCAACGGGTGATAACACTCGTAGATGCTGCACAGTTCACAGCGAGCGCGATTCATCCCTTTGGAAGTCTTGCGGTAGATTCCATCCTCTCACGCAGAATCAAGTAAAATAGTTACCCTAGGATTTCCTACGTGAGATTTCGTGTGAAGTTGGCAATACTTCGATCTTGCAGGAAACTGCGTACCAGCACTAGATACATGTGGAATGTCGCGTGTTTGCAAAGCGAGTGGTGATGCACACTGGCAGTAACAAGACAGGATGGCGGAATAGGGAGGATTTGGCACTGCCACTAACGGCGAACGACCTCGTGGTGTCACTGGACCCCGACGAAGCAGATAAGTGAAAAATGGCGCTCTAACACTGGCTGACAGGTTTGAACGCTTAATTCTTAAGTGTTGGGCCTCGAGTGAATCGGCTGTAAATATACATCCTTTTTGAATTGGATCAGGACACACCTCGAAGGACAATGTGGAGATAGATCGACTGCGGTTAAAATCAATATTAAGCACGCATCGCGCCTAAGTTGGGTTCGTAGTTACCGCAGAAGGACAGCATTGGATGAGGGAAAACAACAAGAATCTAAAGAACGGTTCCTCGCCACAGATGAAAGCGGGACCCCGTGTCTGTTGCTGCGCAAGCCGCTTTGTAGGTAATAGAGGCAGAAGCGTGGGGGTGAGGCTTAGGATGGGATTTTCGGAATTAAGGTAATGGTCCTGTGGTGATGACATCATAGATATGTCTCTTCGCTTGGCGTGAGGGACAGATGTGGAAGAAGGGAGGGCCGATCAACTGAGGTCGAATTCCCGCACTCACTTGTCAAACAGCCCGCCTTCTGCGTCCTGGATCAGAAAGGAATATGGAGTCGGAGTATCACTTTCCTCGGGAAGTATTTCCGACACGTGAAAGAGAAATTGTGGCAAGTGAATATGATAATTACATACTCATGGCCGGGTTTTCCGGATCCGGGAATGTGAGGTTGGGTGTGCATCCTCTTCACTCCGGATTCCCGGTGATAACCTTCGCGCTCGGATGAAATGGTCTTGATGAGTCCCGAAAAGCGATGATAATTGTTAGACTCCTGGGTCTTCTCAAACAATGATGATCGATCAAGGGAGGGAAGAAAGTCTGACATGAGCAACGCAGGAATATGATAGTTAAGACTTGTGTGCATGTATTGGGAATGAAGCTAGTGATAGTATAATATTGGCTCCTGTCCTGCGCCACACAGCACCCTAGGCATGAAAATAGGTGGAGTCTGCAATACCAAGGCTACACCAAAAACACATGATGGGAGTGAGTAACTCGCCGGAACAACAAAATCTTGAACGAAGTTAGGGTCTTGGCATAATGGTGACTGTTTGCACGAGCTGGTGAGATGAGGCTGCAGAATGATCGTGTCGAACCCGAGTGGATGATATCAGATAAATGACAACTACTGGGGCAGGAGTCTGAGCCTTTCTTCATTTATGAGGAGCGCCTCAGATGGCGTCCGAGATTGTCGAGAGATATTACAGATTCCCGAGTGCTTGAGCCAAATCGGGGAGTACGATATCGGTTGATGGCAACTAGCTCGCGCCAGAGCTTCACACTTTCTTCATTCACAAGGAGTGCCTCAGAATATCGTCCAAGGTTGGTGAGCGATGCATCTAGACTCCCAAGCGCTCGAGCTAAATCCGGGGTGTATGATGTTGGATGGGCGGCAACCAGCTCGCGCCAGAGTTTCACACTTTCTTCGATCACAGTGAGCGCCTCGGAATGGCGTCCAAATTTTCAAGCGATATTTTAAGATTCGGAGCGCTCAGCCAAATTGGGGTGTATGATGCTGGATGGGTGGCAACGAGCTCACGCCAGAGCTGTCACACTTTCTTCAGATTACGTGAGTGCCTCAGAATGGCGTCCAATTTGTCGAGTGGTACTTAAGATTCTGGAGTGCTCCAGCCAAATCTGGGTGTATGATGCTGGATGGGTGGCAACGAGCTCGCGCCAGAGTTTCACACTTTCTTCGATTACGTGAGTGCCTCGAATGGCGTCCAACTTTGTCGAGTGATACTTTAAGATTCTGGAGCGCTCGAGCCAAATCTGGGGTGTATGATGCTGGATGGGTGGCAACGAGCTCGCGCCAGAGTTTCACACTTTCTTTGATTACCATGAGTCCCTCGGAATGGCGTCCAACTTTGTCGAGTGATACAAAAAGATTCTGGAGCGCTTCAGCCAAATCTGGGGTGTATGATGCTGGATGGGTGGCAAGAGCTCGCGCCAGAGTTTTCACACTTTCTTCGATTACCGTGAGTGCCTCGGAATGGCGTCCAACTTCGTGAGTGATACAAAAAGATTCTTGGAGCGCTCCAGCCAAATCTGGGGTGTATGATGCTGGATGGGTGGCAACGAGCTCGCGCCAGAGTTTCACACTTTCTTTGATTACCTGAGTGCCTCGGAATGGCGTCCAACTTGTCGAGTGATACAAAAAGATTCTGGAGCGCTCCAGCCAAATCTGGGGTGTATGATGCTGGATGGGTGGCAACGAGCTCGCGCCAGAGTTTCACACTTTCTTGATTACTGTGAGCGCCTCGGAATGGCGTCCAACTTTGTCGAGTGATACAAAGATTCTGGAGCGCTCGAGCCAAATCCGGGGTGTATGATGCTGGATGGGTGGCAACGAGCTCGCGCCAGAGTTTCACACTTTCTTCAATTACCATGAGGCCTCGGAATGGCGTCCAACTTTGCGAGTGATATTTAAGATTCTGGAGCGCTCGAGCAAATCTGGGGTGTATGATGTTGGATGGGTGGCAACGAGCTCGCGCCAGAGTTTCACACTTTCTTCGATTACCGTGAGTGCCTCGGAATGGCGTCCTTCGTCGAGTGATACAAAAAGATTCTGGAGCGCTCCAGCCAAATCTGGGTGTATGATGCTGGATGGGTGGCAACGAGCTCGCGCCAGAGCTTCACACTTTCTTCGTTCACAAGGAGTGCTTCAGAATGTTGTCCAAGGTTGGTGAGTGATGTATCTAGGCTCCAAGTGCTCGAGCTAAATCCGGGGTGTATGATGTTGGGTGGGCAGTAACCAGCTCACGCCAGAGCTGCACACTTTCTTCGATCACAGTGAGCGCCTCGGAATGGCGTCCAACTTTGTCGAGTGATACAGAAAGATTCCGGAGCGCTCCAGCCAAATTTGGGGTGTATGATGCTGGATGGGTGGCAACGAGCTCGCGCCAGAATTTCACACTTTCTTCGATTACCGTGAGTGCCTCGGAATGGCGTCCAACTTGGTCGAGTGATACAAAAAGATTCCGGAGCGCTCCAGCCAAATCTGGGGTGTATGATGCTGGATGGGTGGCAACGAGCTCGCGCCAGAGTTTCACACTTTCTTCGAT